GTGTCTCATCCCTGTCTGATATCACCCACAGCCCTCTAACATCACACAAGGAGGGAAATTTGCTTTTAATTGATTGTTAACCTACCAGCGTTCCTCTGTGTGCCTTTTATTTACATTAGCAGTCTGAAAGAGCAAAGTATTCCCCTTCACGTTTCACTCTGCTGGAGAAACGGGTTTGCTGTCATCACTCCTCACAAGCACAGCCTGAGACCCGCTTTCCTAAATCTCTCCCTTCCATCGTTTGTCTTTACTACCTCATAGCTGTCAGCTTTTCTTCTAGCTGCTACTATGAAAGGAGCACAGGGTCGTTTTGGTCAAAAATCACTCAAGAATCAAGAAGTAGAGGAGGATGGGATCAATTATTGATCTTCGAAGGGAAAACTTCACTGGTAAAAGTATCCTTGATGGAGGGTTGCAATCCTCAGCCTCCAGACTGAAAATCACCGTTAATCTTACCCAACAACAAATGCAAGAGAATTATAAGTGAGCATTTATTCCAGCATCACCAAAGTTCTCAAATCCTCCTGCCACAAAGAAGCCTCTTCTCTCCTAAAATTATTCGATACGTAGAGAAGCCCTGAAGTGGCTCTCAGTTCTCTTACTGCAGCAGCTGTGTTAAACAAAGATTGACAGTGCTCTATGACTCCCTTATTCAACAAAATTTTCCTTAGGCAAGTTATTTCATCCATGCTGCCTCAGTTTCCCCACTTGTAAAATGGGCATAGTGGGAGCTGCTGGTTTGACAGTGGAAGATGTGTCCAAGGAGGAATCGAGTTTTCTATGAGGTGGTTGATTTTCTTTCCCCGGCTGAAAGAGTACCCAAATACAGAGAAAATTAGCTAAGAAACATTCCCAAGAACCTGGGAGAAGTAAATAGCCCAAATTACTACAGAAAGAGCCCTCTTTGGACCACCTCATGAAAAAACAGCATGTCATGTTCAGGCTCTTTCTGTTCAAATGATAGATGATTTATTAGACAGATCAATATATTTATTTTCCACAAAGAAAAAAAAAAACCTTGTGCAGAAAAACTCACTACATTTTAATGTCACTGCAACTTCCACTTGGACTAGAAAGTCTAAATATTTCTTTCCAGGCCTTTGGCTTCCCAGAAGGGTTGCTATTTTTTTTTTTCTAATGGCCAGTGAAAATTCAGACAAATGTGATAAATACTGCAGGGATTTCAGAATAAAAGAAGGGGTCCTCCAAGACGAGAAAGAGAAGGCATCTTTCTTTAACCTGCTCAAGCTTCTTGGCATCCTGCTGGGTAAAGTACCCCCATTTTGGGGGTGCAGGAAGAATCCTAGGAAGACTAGAAGATGGAAGGGAGCTGAATTCTCACTTTTGCATGAAATGCTTAGGTAAGAACAGCCCAGTGCGGCTGGTTCACTACCAATTAGACATAATAAATAAAACACCCACTCTGTGGTCTAAGTGGGAGCCAGCAGGAACTGATGGTGGCCCAGACCATCAGCCACCTGGGTGCTGCTGGGTGCTGTCACCTGCCTGCGGGAGGATGCTGGCAGTGCCGTCTGGAGGCGGCTCTGTGCCCTTTTCTGGGAGCCCCCCTGCTGCCACACACCATCCCAGCTGGCCAGGCAGCAACCCTAACCTGGGTCTGTACGTCAGGGCGGCCAGCGCGGAGCCAGGCTGTCCCCTCACTCCCCTCCCACCTCCCCCTCGCTGGCCGCGAGGACTTTGTGTCCTAAAAGCTCATTCTTTCCATAGCGTACAAAATAAACCAGCATGTGCTCCTCTCTCCAACGCCGCCCGTCTCCACAACGGCCCCGGGTGGGTTGTTGTTCGGCCCTGTCTCTCCTTAAATAACAGAATTACAGCGGGCCTAATCCTGCAAAGTGCTGAGTAACAGCTCGTTCCCAATAAATTAAGCAGGCACTCAGCGCCGCAGCCTGATATTTGTATCCATGTCCTCCTGGATTATCAGTCTCTCCTTCTTGCTCTCTCCCCGGCCCCTCGGGGAGCAATTATCTGTGAATGAGAACAGAATAACTCTTTTTGCAGAAGGTTTCCACACTCTCGCACAAGGAGCGCTCTGAATGGATTTATCATGCTTGCTAAAAAGGGAGGTGGTAAAAAATCCGCCTTCTCTCTCTCTCTCTCTTTTTTTTTTTTTCTCCCCTATATTTTAAGGAGAAATCCCTGAAGCGGCAGCAGTTCCCCCGTGGCTCCACGCACTAGGGAGAAAAAAAAAAAAAGGAAAAAAAAAAGAAAAAAAAATGGATATAGTAAAACTTTTTAAGGGAGGCATGAATCGGTTCTTCAGAAAAACAAGGCAGCGGTGCCAACTGGAAATGTTTGCTTTGGGGGTGAGTTAGATGGCTGGCGTCAGCCAGGGCTAAAGACATGCCAGCGGAATGCAATATTGGGGAAGCAGCAGGTCACTCAATCACTGGCAATTTGCCCAGGAGCAACTGGATGCCTTCAGATTTTTTTTTTTCCTTGTGTGTGCATGTTGCTTTTTTCTCTTTTTTTTTTTCTTTTTTTTTTTTCCCCCTAGGCAAACAGAGCCCCAGCAGTTTTGAGGCTGGGGAGCTGGAGAATGGTATTTCTGAAAGGCACGTTCCTGCAGGAATACCCCTGTGGTCTGCTCGGCTGCACAGTGGTGACATCTGGCAGAAGCTCTTGCATTGGGATGGATGAGGCTGAATCCTGCCCGCTGCTGCCTCCACACACAAGACAGAAGATGCAGCAGAGTGTGCTGGCTCTTCCAGAGCAGTGGGCAGCTCCAGGGAAGGGATGGGGCAGAAGGGTGGGACAGCAGTGCCAATGCCTCCAAAAATACCCTCCAGCAAACCAGAATATTTTTTCCTCCAGTAACAAGTACTAAATCCTAAAGAAGAGACTTTTGTTTATATTCTGGGGAGGCAATAGGATTTTATTCAAGGTTAATATGCTCACAGGAGTGGAAAAATTAGGTAAAAGACAAAAAGAAAAATTTCCCCTAATAAACGGTGTCCATTAACTCCCCACAGCACAGGAGGAGGAAAAGACCCCACAGGAATTTTTGTCTGCACATCTGTAGTTCTTCATTGCTCTATCATTTGTGCTGAGTGCCAGGCTGCACACAGAGCCCAAATAACCCACAGAGGGGGGGTGTCTCAGCAGGAAAGTCTCTAAACGAGCTGGTGGCCCACTCACCAGGATTAGGGATTTGCCCTTTTTGCTAACATGCAGCAGAATGCAGCACAGTCACCAGCACATGATGGGCTGATGTCAACTGTGGCAGTTCTCCAGAGGTAAAAAGAAGCGATAAAATTGCCTTCTTTGTTGCCTTCTCCGTCCATATGGGTGAAACACAATGTGTGAGAGGGAGGGGAGCTATTGTGAAAGCAAACCCGAAGACAAAGCTGTACCTGAGACTCCAAACCCACAGGGTTCAGTACCACTCCAAAGCATTTTCACAGTTAAACACCAGCACCCACCCATCTTCCACCACAATGTCACCACTCCACAGGGCACCCAAGGGGATTGCTGCTGCAGATGGAGGAGAGGTGATCTTCCACAAAGGCAAATCTTTTCAATCCATGAAAAAAATGGAGAAAAAGCATAGGTGTTTGGAGGCAAATCACAGCTATGGTCAGCAGGTAGGGATCCCTGAGGTGTCTCCTAAGCAGAGTCTCTACATATGCTCTTCTGATGTCTCCTGACCTGGCAGTTGCCCTTGCAGCTACCCTCTTGTGCCACGGTGCCCAGTGAGACAGCCACCAGCCCACACAAATCCAAAGACCATCAGGTTTTGAACTGCAGCTTCAGTTCAAGACACAATCTGCACCCAAAATACAGGTTTTTTACCCCACTTCTGGCTTCCAGAGCCATTGGTCCAGCAAAGATGATTTTAGCTTGATCGCTCTTGTCTCTCCATCAATACCTTTCTTTTTACATTTTCATCCTGGTTTTGGATCTTGATCCAGCTACGGGGGAGAATGGACCAAAATCTCCTCAGTGTTCAAGGCCTCCTTTGCTCTCCTTTTCTGCATCCCTTTTCATGTTATTAAGATTCATACTTGAAACAAGAGCTTGTCATTAGATCACTAGAAAAGGGCTTTAGTAAAAATGGACTGCATTCCCAGGTCAGTTTCTTGTGTGATCTGCTCTGCCCCAGATCCTGCTACTGTAAAATGGATATTGCAACCTTTTCTTTTCCTTGCTGTCCTTTTTTTAGTCTTAAGAAAGAGACTCTCTCATGCAAAGTGTATGCACAGCAAAACAGTGAAAATTATTATTTATTATTTATTACTTTTATTGTAAAGTATCTTTAACCATTATTTAACAAAATACCCAAGTTCCTGACAATGTCTTGGGGAAAAAAAAAACCCAACATTTTAGCAACTTCTTCTCTGGGTGATTAATCCCTGTAAAAAGTATCACACCAGAGTGCCCAGGCCATACAACTGTTCCAGGTGCTGTAGTTGTCCATTCAGTCATGGCACCTAATCACCTGCCTGCAAGTGCCTCCTTTTTCTCAGGAACACTTTTAGTGTGGTCCAAGGGAGCACTGATGGGCAGAGAGGAAAGAAAGTGAGGACACACTCAATCACCTCCAAGGGTAAATGTCACAGTGAGCTCTCCCACCCAGCCCTGTGCTCCAGGGCTGCAGATCAAGGCAGGGTGGCCAAGGGAGATGGGCAGGACTGAGCCCTTCCCTGCTCATGCCTCGGTGCTGCTGTGTAACTTGGGGAAATCATTTTAGTTTCACATACCTCAGTTTCCCCATCTGGAACACGGAAATAATGATCTTGTCTTCTTTTTAAAGCCCTTTCAGATGAACAGCCCTTTTAAAGAGGTAGGTTGTATTATAGGCAGCAGACTCTCACGTCTGCCAAGAACCAAAAGTGATATGAGGGTGATGAAATTCAGGCCACCTCATCAGCAAAGCATGTTGTCCTGGCCTTCAAGACAAGGTTAGGGCTCTTGGAGAGAGCCCATTCCTTTTTGGGATAGAAAGGAGTGGACACAGACCCAGCACATGCTTTCCTATTATTAGTCATTTGTATCCATGTATTGCTGCAAGTGTGTACAGATCTAAACAACCCACCAAAGCAAGGGCATAGCCCAAAGTCATCCAACCCAGGAGCTCAACCACGCAATGGGTGCTGAGGAGAAGTTGCCAGCTAATTTCCCCATTATGGCTCGAGCAGGATGGATGCAAACAGTCCTCAAAAGGCTTGCAAGCCCCAGGATCTCCATGAGCCTTTCACTAGGACTGGAGAGGAACAAGAGCAGGCAGAGGGACCTGCCTGGGGACCAAGTGGAGAGCATGACATCTGTCGAGGACCAGGTGGGTGACTCACATTTGGCTGGGGGAAGGAAGCTGGAAGCAGGCGAGATGCAGGCACAGGCAAGGTTCCTGAGGACCTCACAAACCGGGCTGGAAGCACGACCGAGAGCTGCTTTGCGCGACAGGGCCAAATCCGTCCCTGGCACAGCTCCCCTCCAGCCGGGTCCGTGTGTTTGTGTTAAGGATTCAGCTCCGGCCGCGTTGGGAGGCACCGGCTGCGCAGGGCTGGCATGCCAGCCTGGAGGCCCAGACACGAGGACAGTGCCAGATGCTGGGCATATTTTGTCAGCTGCGCGGGCTGCGGGCTGTCACACGGGGCCGGGTGTGCACCTGCGCGACCCTGGCCCGCCCGCTATTAACAGCCGGCGACAGCGCTCTGATGCCGGATCACTGACCGCTCCGTCCCCGAGCACGGAGATAAATCAGCCTCCCCGCTGACAACCCCGCGGCTCTTCTGCGGCCGGGCCCGATGCAAGCGCTAATGCACCTAATGCTCGCTCCACGGCAGGATTCGATGTGTGCGGCCAGCCCAGCCCCACCGAGTCCTGCCGCCTCTGGGATGCCCAGTGCGCCTGGTGCTCCTGGTTCGGTCCCTTGAGCTGATGGGGCTCCAAAGGTCTCCTGATGCTGTAGGTGAATGTTTGGGGTCCTCCAAGCAGAGACGAGACCAGCACAAATTTCTGTGAGAGGAGCTAACACAGGGAGGACTCACACAAGATGTGAAGTGGATGGGGTGTGTTTGAGTACAAATGAAGCAGCCAGAGGCCAGAGCTGCAGCAAGCGTCGTGTATTTGGGGGCTAAAACCTTCTCAGACATTGGGGATAGCATCTGAAGGGGTCAGGGAAAGAGGCACTGATGGAGGAAGATGCATTTACCTATTTCCTCAACTCCTCCACAACAACCTAAGCATCAGTCCTGTGCAACCTTGAACGCCCAGAGGAAAAGTCCTGACATGTCCAGGCCTTTTGGAAGAAACACGCAATGGGTGATGGCCTCCACATTCTCTCTTTTCTTTCGTTGCTGACCCAAAATAAGTGCAATCTGACTAATTAACAGAGCTAGTTAGCATCAGGATGAAACGCCCAATGTGGACCACAGGCTCTTAGGAAATAGATTTTGGTGCTTTGGGACACAGAAAAATTTCCCAGGCATCATGTGCAGAGCACAGCTGGCTCTGTGACTTTTCCTCTTTTTCATCATCAGTTCTTGGTTCTAGCACAGCAATAACTTTTAATGCCAAAGCATTGTGCTTCTTTCCTCTTTATTTCAGGCTGCAGGCTCACCACATTCTGGACTGGTTGCAACCCATCTGGTTTCACTAATACTTCTAATATAATATTTATAACTAGCTAAGGGCTGATCATATGACGGGTGTAATCAATAAGTCATGTGCCAGTTGTGTTTATTCTAACACCTCAAGCTATTTTTCTGTCTTTTGGTGTCCATGGCCTGCTGGGCTATTTGTATGTTTTGTTGCTGTTGTACCTTCCCACCTCTGCAGCCTGCCCGTTAAAAAAGGCTATCTCAGTAATTGAGAGAAAAAAACCCATCGCTTCGTTTCCACCCAAAAAAAGGAAATGAGATGAGAGAATCAACCAAAGGCTCTGCTTGCCATCAACTTTGGATTTTCTGAAGGAACTTATGCTTAGTAAAGTTGTTCAATCTGAACAAAATCATCTTCTCAACAAATTCCTCCTTCCCACTGCCAGAAGAATCATCCAACAGAAACCACAACCAGCTCTGACAGTTTTAGCTCACCCATAGCCAGCTGTGGCAGCCCAGCTTCATCATCAGTGAACACAGGACATTTTCTGGCAGACCATTGGGTATCAGGGAGGAAAGACCTCTTACATTAAAAGGGGAGTTCCCATTGCATGCACTTACTTCCTTCTTGTTCTTTCTGCCCTTCTAACCCTATGTTGCTAAGATGGGCAAATAGGAGTCGTCTCTGGATAGATGCTCAGATGCATCAAGAGGTTTTCTCAACTCCTCCCAACAGTGCTTTATAAATACCTTAAAGACGTTTTGGGTGAGACCAGATGTGAGGAAAAAAACAAACAAATAAACAAACAAACCCCACTTTTACCTTAGTTTTGAGAAGAGTGAATATCATTAGTGTTAAGCCACTGGCAACAGGCTGGGATTTGGCCCTGTGTGGCTGCACAGAGGCAGACCGAGACTGAATTCTCCCTTTCTACGGGTGCTTGTAGTTGGACACAGCCTGTAAAAGCAAATGATTTAATGATTCATTCTGGCAAGCAGGGAAGGATGACTTCAGGTTTGAGCTTCCCACATCACTTCCAGCAGCTCCCCCCGGAGATCCAACACATCAGTGGCCAAGATGATTGCACGTTGCAGAGCCAAGCGGTGCTGCCTTCTCTGCCTCTGGAGCAGGAGCACAAAGGAGGGTCCCTCTGTGGCACATGGGAATTCAGCAGCAAAACAGAGGCTGTGCCTCAACCTCAGGAGGACAAACTAAACCTCTCCTTTTTATGTGGAGCCTTTCAGCTGCTACCTTGTGAGTCAGTTTATTCAGAACAGCTCTGCACTAATGGGATTAAGAAGCTCTTCACTGCTTGGATCGCTTTGCAGTGGGAAGATCCAAAATCAACTGATGGAAAACAGGATAATTCCTCCTGCAGAGGGAGCGAGATTGTTTGTGGAACCAAACGATCAAACAATGACTCTGAGTGCTTCAAGCATGCCATGCATGGAGACACGTACCCAAACTCTGCGGGTGCTGGGCGGGGTGATGCAGGCACACAGTGTCAGTGCAACCTTGGGACCCCATGCCCTACTCCGGGGTGCAGTTCTGTGGGACTGTGTTTGAAGGTAGGAGAGGTTATGGGGGAAAGGAGTAGTCATTCTCTCCAGCAAACCTCAGGCTGGAGGCTCAGATCCAACGAGGAGTGCACACACCTTGAAGGCACTTAAAATCCTGAACTGCCCCTGCACTGCTTCTACTGAGCAGCCACAAATAACACATCCACTGTCACGCAGAATATCTCAAAGATGGTTGCCAAGAAGATGGTGCCAGACTGTTTTTGGAGGTGCCCAGCAACAGGATAAAGAGCAGTGGCCATAAACCAAAACATAAGAAGTTTCACCTCAATATGAGGAAGAAGTTCTTTATGCTGAGGGTGGCAGAGTACTGGAACAGACTGCCCAAGGAGGTAATGGAATTTCCCTCTCTGGAGACATCCCAAACACAGCTGGATGTATTCCTGTGTCACCTGCTCCAGGTGACACTGCCTTGGCAGGAGGGTTGGACTAGATGAACTCCAGAGGTCCCTTCCAACCCTAACAATTCTGTGATTCTCTGATCATATCAGGATGTGCAAAACACTTCTCTTCTTTGCAGAACTGGGTTTCTCCTTCCCCACAGACACCATGTGGCCTTGCACCTTGCACAAACCTTTCTCTCCAACGAGAAAGATACTCTCAAATTCCTTCTTCTTCAGCCTTGCCAAACTAATTTTCTGGTTCATCCAGCTCACATGTAATTGGCACTGAAGAACTGGCTGAGCATCAGCACCAGTGGGCACCTAGAGCTTGTGACAGAAGACCAAGGCAAACTGTGGACACCATCAAGTCTCCACCATCAAGAATGGGAGTCACTCAGCTGGCCTTGTTTCCTGCTCTGGCTGTATCTCAACCATTTGCCACATAGCACAAACAAATATAGGGCCCTGACTGCCCAAAAAATCCCAGTGTGTAGTACATCAGTCGTCTCAACTTGGTACACATGGTCAGAACATCAAAATGCTACACTCTAGTGTAGCCAGCACCACACTATCTTGCCAGCACCAAGCACCAAAAGCAGCTGGTCACAAAAAGGTTTGTGGCTGTCACCTGAGGCAACATGGTAGATTCCTTTCTCAGGCACATAACCTAGTATTTGGAGCTCACTTCTTAAGAAAGAAAGACACTCAAAGAGCCTTCATCAGTACAAATATTTTACACTAAAGGCAGTCATACATTTAACATGTGTGCATGATTTCAACCCTGAGAAGTTTTAGGATCTTGTTACAAATTATTAATAGAGGTTTCATACATGTTCTGTTTTCCTTTCCTTCCTTTCCTGCCATGGCAGGCAGTGAAGCCATGTGACAGACATGAGTCAAACCTATCTAGCCAGGACCCTACTAGGGGTTTCCAATGTTCACACAGAGCTTGACACCTCAACATGTCATTATTCAGGCTCTTCTCCATTTGGAAGAGTGAATGGTCTGAAAGTGGAGTTTTCTTCTTTTCTCACAAAAATTCAGACTTTTACTTAAAAAAAAAAAAAAATAGAACCAGCTAAAAATAAACTTTCTGCTTTTAGATGAAAAACTTCAGTAAACACCTGAAATTTCATGCTGAAAACAGACACTTCCCAAAAAATGTTGCTTAATCTATGATGGCATTTTCTGACAGAAAATATTTTAGAGGTAAACCTTTTGGAGCAGTCCTGGAAATGCTCTTTTGTCCAGCTCGGTTCAGTGCACATTACTTATTTCAAATATCAGTGGGAACACTGTCATCTGGATCTTGAAACAGAAATCATTTTTACCCTCCCTTACAGGTAAGCTCAGCAATAGATCCCCATAATGGTTCTATGGCTTTCCTCCCATCCCATTTCCACCTTGATCGTGACCAGGTTTAATAGTTATCAGGATATGTACCCACAGATTTGAAAGCAAATGAGTATCTCAGGAATTTGTCAGGGGCTCTGAATGTCATTAGGAGCAATCAGCAGCAGTAAAACGGCTGTAAATTAAGGTGAATGTGAAAATTAAGGGGCCTCAATGTCTTGCTTGTCTGTGCATCATGTTTGGCTCTGCTCAAAGGCGGGGGGAAAGCACAAGAATAAAAATGTTCACAAGAAACCTGGAGTCGGGTCCACAGCGTATATTTCAAAAAGCTCCTGTTTCAGGGCAGCTAAGGTTAGCTTTCTGGTCGGCTCAGCCCGGTATCACAAAGAGAAACATTATCAGCTCTTTCTGTTGTGCTAATATCCAATTTATTTTTCAGCAGTGCAATTTCCTGCCTGCTCTTTGAACAGCTATCAAAGGACAAGACACCAGATCATGGCAGACATTCTTGTAGTGCTGACATCTGCTAAACTAGTCAGTCTGTTCATATACAGCCCACTCAGTGCATCCTAAAATATTTTATAAGCCACCAGTGGAACAGAGAATGGTAATGTGGGTCCCTGACCTTTATTTGAGCCATCTTGATGTTCAGTACAGATGGGGAATCACACTTCAGCAGCCAGAATTTCTGGGTCCATTCAGCTTAGGATTTCTGTGTTACCTCCAAACCCAATAAAATTCACTTAATGCCATCTGGCACTTCATATCCTTCACTGTTTTTCATCCAAGAACACTGGTAAATCTGCATATGAGGCTTAATCCAAAAGCCTGTGAAAACCAATGGAAAGATGGTTTTGGATCACACCTAAAAGTGCAAGACTTTATATAGAAAACTGCTTTCTACAGCTTTGCTGGAAGGTGTTCCTCCTTCAAACAGGCACTCAAACAGCAGTGAACATATTCCAACAAAACATCTGGACACCTAGGAAAAGGTTAGTCTAATTACATTTAGAGAAGCCAAGAAATATCACTAATGAGATATTACCCAAACTCTTGTGTGTTAGCTCTGTTGCTATTTTTGCTTTGGGTGACGCCACTTAATACCATGAATATCAATGTGTTTCACAAACATAGTCAAGTACTGTGAGGGACTACTCACAGCCCATTTTCAGAGTTATTCATGGGACCTGCAGTCTCTGTGTCACTGTCTCTCATGTGCTCTCTGGCTATATCCCAAAATGTTTTCCATACCAGTACTGACTTCTGCCTTAGTTTTGAGCTCTGCAGCAAGGAAAAAAAAAAGAAATAAAAGAAAATAAAAAAGTTCCCAAGCATCTGAGAGTTTTCATTATTCAAGGAGCCCTTCTAATTGCTTTCTGTTCCTCACCATCCTTCTGGGTTGTGGTTTTATGTCCTGAGCATGATCTCTCCTATGCTTCAGACCCGCTCCCTGATGCACAATTGCCCTATCTCATTCCTATTCCATCTGTCCTTGTCTGGATCCTCTCTTGTGGCATTGCTCTTCCTAATCTTCAACTTAATTCCAGGCTAAACTTTTATTTTCTTCTTGAAAGAGTTCCTATACATATTTTGGCAAAATTTCTGGCCTGATGACTGTATTCTTCAAATTTGTATCCATTGACCTCATTTGTCCTCATTCACTTCTTTTGAGCCCTGCCTGACTTGCTCAAACTTATATCCAAGACCACTCAAGAACAGCAGAAAAGACTCCAGCTGCATACATAATGATAAATGAAAAAAAAAAAAAAAGGACATTTTCCAGCCACAAGATCAATCAATCAATCATAGCATAATTACAGCTCCAGATGGCTAAATGTTCCTCACCCCCACACAAGGGAAAAAAAAAAGACAGAAAGGATAAACTCCATGTTGGCCCACTTGGAGCTCAGAGAGGGGCCCTCTGATGTGGTGTGCACCTCTGGATGCAGACTGGAGGATGGCCATGGTGCAGCAGTCCCTCTGCTCTCCTGTGAAAGGCCTGGATGGGTTCACTGACACAGTCCTGCTGAAGTGTCTTCACCAGGCTGAAGGGACTGGAACAAATTCAACAACAAGAAGCCAATCCATATTCAGCCAGCTGAGAGACCATCACTCCTGTGACTTGTCAAGGAAGGAGGTGCCAAACCACAGATGTGGCAACTGATAATCAACCTCTTCACATTGCCTTCATGTCACCCAGGTGGATGGATGTGCCCAGTTCTCAGCACTGAATGACTCATATCCAAGATAGTAGGATGCCAAAACACAATCCTGAGGCCGAACTCCCACTCTAAGGCTGCTTTATATTGACAATGGATCAACAAATTTTAGCCAAAGCTTGGTTCTCCGGCAGCATCAACACTCTGGGCTTTATAGAGATACTCTGTGTATAACAGGTTGACAGCTTTACTTCAACCCATCACTAATTTCTCTTTCCCTGTTTCTTTTTAGTACACTGTTCACTGTTCACAGGACCCTGATCAGCACAGAAGTGAGAAGCTCACAGACCAAATTGTCAGAAACTTGGTACGTGCTGTGAAACATGTTAGGAGGCCAAGGTGGAGAAACCATATGCAGAACTGGCCTGGATTTTGGCAGGGGTCATATTTTATAACATATTAAACCTAGGAAGACATTTACTGACTAGTATTAACCCAAGTCCTGCATTAAACTGATGTATTGGTTATCAGTCATATCTTTCATGTGTTAAGTAATTGAACTTTTTTTCTACTTTTAGGATGCTGACAGGCAGTAACACAAAACTGAAGAGTTGTACTGTAAGGAAGTTGAAAGGGAAATTTAAGATGGTTTCAGGACTCATAGAGATTATTTAAACAGTACCTAAATGTTAATAGAATGAACAACAGAATAAAGTCTATTAGAAGCAAAGTATGGGGATGAAGTTCAAAGAGGGAATATGGAAGAAACATGAACATAGGTAAACTAATGTTAAAATCAATATAAATCTATTAAAAGCATTCTGAAGAGCAATTTCCTAAAGCTCTGGAAGGTAATAATAAAAGCTGCCTCAAACACTTCAAAGCAAGTAGTTTGCCAGACAGCTGTTCAGACTGATAGATGATCAATATGCAATAGATGAGCACTCAAGACACATTATCTCATGATAGCAAAGTCAAATAAATACTAAGGATGCACCCCACACTACAGCCTTTCCTTACTGGGAACACATCTGAAGAGATACCTCAAATTGAAGCGTGAGTAGAAAAGATTTTCCAACAAATTGATAAAGTGAATAAGACCAATCTGCAAGACCAGACAGTATTCACTCAAGAGCTCTATGGAAATCCAAAGAGGAAATTGCTGCATGGTTATCTGTGGTGCAGAGCCAACCTGCTGTTTAAATCAACCTTTGTCAAAAGAACAGAAGCAGTAAATGTGATGCAAAATGAAAAAGTTTCCAGAAATGGCTCATAAAAGGAATGAATACAGACAAGTGTGATTCTGTGTAAGGCAAACTGAAAAGTGTTCTAAAAAAGAGCATCGGACACATCAGAGAGCAAGGTGTAAAGGGGAGGAGTCAAGTATTGCATCTGTAGGTGGAAGTCACGTCTCACAGATCAAGTTCTTTGAGGGGGTCACTGAGTTTTGGGGGATAGTGATCTGAGTAATACCATTCACTTGCCTTTCCCAGTGTGGCAACCTATGAAAAAATTAAATTGTTCTTGAACAAGGAAGAAGGTCCTCTTATGACTCAACAACTGGTTAAAGATAGGAGACCAAACAGGGAATAAATGACCAGGTTTCACAATAAAGGGAGCCAACCTGCAGGACTGGATGAGGCTCTAGACTTTAGGACCTCTGCTGCTCAACACACACATTTATTCTAGAAAAGGCATAAGAAGTCAAAAGCAGGATGATTGACTTTTTCTGATGATACCAAACCACCTAAAATATTCCAAACTAAAGCTATGAGCAAAAAATTCAGAAGGACCTACAATGCTAAGTGGCTGCACAGTAAAATGGAAGACAACATTCAGAGTAATATAAGAAATATGAAGTGAGCAGTCCTTAGGATACATTCACTGTAATGAGCACTGCCTTAGCTACTCTTGTTGGGAATAAGATCCTGGAGCTAGTGTGGGTGGTTTTCTAAAAATGGGAACTTAGTGCTTTATGGGAATTTAAAAAGCAAAGACAAAATTAAAAACCGGTAGGAAAAGACTTCAGAGCAATATAACAAATTTTTGCACATAGCTCCAACGCACCAATCTCATATAGGATAGAGCAGAACTATAAAAGGCAAGAAAGGGTAACAAGACACCAGAGACAGGGAACAGTTTCCAGAAAAGAAGAGCCAAAATAGGCTAAACCCCTTCATCTTGGGAGAAAAAACAGCAAAGGGGATCTGAGAGAGGTCTCTCAAGTGATGAGCTGCATGGAGAAAATAAATGGAAAATAACTGTGCACCGTTTCTCAGAACTTCAAGGGCCAGACACTAACTAATGAAATTCTGAGACAGAGAGTTAAAGACAGAAAAAAGGGACATTTCTCTCACAAATGAGTTATGAACACTAAAAATTACAACTTAGTACAAATGGGTTTAAAATAATAATGGTGGCTAGCTCTAGCAGGGCTGCTAAACACCAGAATCCAAACTCAACTTTTAGTTCAGGAGACCCCTTAGATGCTGACTGCCGGAAGCTGGGATGAGGTACCATGGGTAGGACTCTGCACTCAACATGCTTCTTACTTTTTTTTTTTCCAGTTTCTTACAAACTTTCTTTTTTATAAGTCCAAGACATCACGATCCTGGATTCCCATGACCTTATTCACTAATATACCTCTGAAGTAATGCACCCCAATGTGAAGTTCAGCCTTAACCAGAAATAAGCTGCTACATGAAGTTTTGTGGAAAAATACCAAGCTACAATATTGATATACTCTAATAATAAATTCAGCCCATCTGATGAATGATTAATACAAGAAAATAATGAACTTTAGCAGATCATAAGACCTCCTTCATGAAGATGAGCCTCTTTGGGAATCCTCTACCTTCTCAAAACCTCGATTTCTCCACCATTGTGGTGACAGCCCCCTGGAGATGTGGGAACATTAGCTCATGTAAATGAAGCTTTCAGGGGTAATACTCTTCCCTTTTCACCATTAAAAGCTCTTTTACATCTGGAGCATCTGACTAGAGACTTTACAATAAATATGCATCTAATTGCACTTTTTTTCCTGTGACTACTAAGAGCCAGGGGGAATTCTTGGGACCTCACCAACCACAGTCAACAGCCACCACTGAAAAATCTGGCAAACAAGTGCTTGCTTTACAAAAGTAAACTTCCACCAAAAATCTATAGGTTCTAACTAAAAGAGAGACTCTCCTGTTCTATTTAAGGTCCACTGTCCTTTTTCTAAAACAAAAGAATACTGAGTGAAAGACTTAAATATCCTCACATCTCATCCTTTTTTCTGTTTTTTTTGTCAAGGGACCCAAAACTCTAAAAAGCGAATGAGCAAAGCCCAAAGGATGCCCAGTGCACTTGGGGAAACTAAGTTTGAGCTAACTAATGTTGATCCTGGGCATCCTGTTGGTGCTGTAAGGCAAAGGCACCGCAGTGAGGAGGTGAGCTGGGGCAAGGAAGGACCCAGTACTCCTGTTTGCCAGGATCCACAGGAGACCAGGAACACTACAGGGAAAAGCCGACTAAAGGAGTTTTGGCAGAGCTGGGGCTGCACCTCATGTCCATCTCCACAAGCAACCCCTCTCCTGACCACAGGAAGAACCTCCCAGCCTCAGACAGGTCCTAAACAAACAAATAGGAGGATTTTTACTGGTTTTAATGCTGGATGAGGTCAGATCGAGCTGAAGCCAGACCAGCTGCCAGTGCAACTGTGCATAAATCAGTGGACTGGCTCACAGATGGAGAAAGAGTTGAGGTTTTTGCAGGTCCTTACCCAGCTGCTCAACCTCCCATACATCTCACATCCAAGTAATTTTGGAGCCAATATCTGCTCCTTCTGAAGTCAAGGGATGAGTTGTCCTTGGCCCTGATGGCCCCAGGGTTGCAGAAGGGAGGCACTGAGGCTTTGGTTTGGGTAATGCAGTACTTCCACTAGGGCTAGGCTGAGAAATTCAGGCTTTTTTAATTTTAAACAAATTCATGTTTTTATAAAATTGAGCCTCTCAGCCTGCAGCAGAGTGCCTCCAAACTGATTTCCAAGACTGTCAAGGACCCAGTGTCTCCCACCAAGAAGTGCGTTGATGTATCAGAAAATCAGATACCTGTTGGGGATTCAATGATATTAGGGCCAGAGGGATCCTGTAGGATTATTCAGTCCATCTTTCCACATAAAATAAAATCACACAATAACTCCTGCACCAAGTCCCCAGCTTAAACTCTAACATATATTTTTAAAAGGCGTCTAGCTTTTATTTGTGCAATTCAAGCAGTGTAGACTCCACTGTTCCTTTATGTAACATATTGCAAAGATCATTATGTTCAGCATAACTGCTCAGCTCTTATCACAAGCCTCATTTATTCTGCTTCTGGATATCACTGACTTCTTTCTGATGGACTGGAAAGCTGCTGGACAGCAGCAATATCCTCCTCATGGATACGTGAATGGGCCACGAGCACCTCACCCTTTGCTCTTTGTTGAGATACACTGACAAAATACATTTTTCAGACTTTGGATCACAGTTGCAGAGGAGAAGAGAGGAGGAGAGGAGAGGTTCGGAGAGGTTCGGAGAGGAGAGGGATTAAATCTCATCATTCAAGCTAAGAGAATAAAATTAAGCCTCAGACTGTCATAAGCACTTTTCCCTCTAAGTGCATATTGACTGTATCAAGTAAAAAATAAGCATTTAAAAAGAAATAAAATGTTTAAGTCAGTGACAGATATGACTCCAATTTACACTGTGTGTGAATAATTCTCATTTCCTACCTCACTTCACTATCCTTCCTCAGTTTCATATTATCCAAGAGGACTATCCCATAATCCTGCCCATGCACATTTGCCAAGTCTCCAAATAGCTTTAAAAAAACCCCACTGATGAGAGACCACCAACTTTACAGGTTCTTACAACTCCCACTGTACATTTTATGGGCATTTAGCAATGCTACAGGGTTTTCCTAATGCTGGAGAAATTTCACTTCTCTTCACTAATAATAGACATGTGTTTCAGCAGCCTTTTCTCACTTTTCCTCTCCTTGCCTGCCTATATTCTCAAATTGCTGCTTTTTAAGATGCATTTTTCATAGAACTATAAAAACAGAGCCATTTTTTCCATTTTTTTTCCTTTTCCTTTTTATTTTTTTCTCAGATCAAGGACTGGACAAAATCTCTAGCCTGCCAAGCTTTTTCTTTATTTCTTTCTTTCATTTTTTTGGTTGTTGTTTAAATATTTCACAATAAAAGAATGTGCTCCCAACGGAATTTTTACTGCAAAAAATGAAAAGTTCCCCCTTTCTCCTTTCTTATATCTTGCACACTTCAAAACACATACTGGAATTCTGAAGCCTCCCGAGGAAGACGGCTGCTCACATGCTGTCAGACTATTAATGATAATGTCAGAGTACATGACACGTATTTAAACATTAAAAGAAGAAGGATTAGGGTTGCATCTCAGTCTCGCTTTGATGATTCAACTTTATGTTGATATCCTCAGCATGCCACTTGCGATCAGACTTCTGGTTTTGCTCTTCAACAGCATTTTAAAATAATTCCCCTTGCACAAGGAGGATGTTGGAAAATGTACATGAGAGTAGATGTTCCTTTTTAACAAGTGCAGAGCTCTGGTTTTTCACAGGGTTTGAAGTGTGTTCTGGCTTGCAGAAGTACAAACTGTCACCAGCTGAATCACCTCTCAGAAATGCTCAGGATGCTTTCCTGGGGGAGATGTCCTGTCCTTCTGGCTCGCTTGGGAGACATCTTTCTGACACCCACCTGCAGCATGCCTTTCCCCCATCGCTTATCCTGGGCACTGAGGACAAGCCTTTAAAACACCCCAACTGCACCTACAACTAATTCTTGCCACTTAGTATATTCTTTCAATTTCCTTTTCCTTTCTACTTATTTATCTTTTTAAAAAAATACATTGTCTGAAGACACATTCCGGGGTCTCACAGTCACTTCTTTCAACTGCATCAGTTTTTATCAGGGCAGAGAGCCACCCAACAAGGTGTTTCACCCACTGTCAGAAGGCAGTGGTGCCGTGGTGATTTAGGGCATGGTGCTGTGGTTTCAGGGAGAGCTCAACCCTGTACTGAACAAAGTTAATCCATGACTTTGACTAGTACAGTGCCAGAGGATGCTGAGATGAGAGGTTAACCCTTCTCCAGTGATTTTTACCCAGTACTCTTTTGTCCTTCACAGGGAACTGGCAAAGCATTTGTTTCCTTATTTATAGAGTCATACAATTGTTTAGGTTGGAAAAGACCTCTACGATCATCAAGTCCAACCATTAATAAGTCCAGCACTGCCAGGGCCACCACTAAACCATGCCCCTAAGCACCACATCTACACATCATTTAAATACCTCCAGGGATAGTGACTCCACCAGTTCCCTGAGCAGGCTGTTCCAGAGCTTGACAATCGTTTTGGCCATGAAATTTTTTTTTAATATCCCACAGAAACCTCCCCTGGTGTAACCTGAGGCCATTTCCTCTTGTCCTTTATTTACCCTCGAAGGCAGAGGTATCAGAGTTGCATGACAAGCTTCTTGGCTGGTGCTTCTACTGAAGCTATTTTCTTGGTGGGCATCAAAGCAGAGAAGCGACCCCTTTCCCACCTCACCAGCGTGCAGCTGTGGCCACGCCACCACGTCACAAAATGCCAGGCATATTAAACAGGACTGGGCTGGGACAGCTTTGCTCACCTCAAGCACAGAGAACTCCAGAGCTGGCAGAGGGAGGATATGGAAGAACAGCAAGAAGAAGGCAGGGCAATGGGACAGGACAGTGACACCATCAGATGGGCTCTGCCATAGATGGAGTGTGTCTATGTCCTTCAAGTACCTGCCTTACCCATATCTGTGAAAAACAGACCCATAGGACACCACAGGACTGACAAAATGATGCAACTCTGAGTGCAGACAAGGTTGACATAACGTGTTCTGCAGAAAGGAAAGGTCAGAAGCTTTGCTACAACTCTTAGCTATGGTCCCGTTACTCTGCATTACTCCCTCATAGCCAGGTGATTCCCTCCATCTGTTTTTCACCTCATGCCATCATTTTGCAGCAGAAAGAGCTGCTGCATCCATATGGCACAGAGCAGTCAGCACCACCTGGAGATTCTTCTGCATTTGCTCCTGAAAGCCATGCTTCTCCAGTGGCATGGTACAAGGCTGGAAGCATGCTGCTCCTAGCCCAAATATCAGTGGCAGCACAGCCACACTGCTTTGATTTCCAGAGGCCAGGTGGTCTCTGTTCGCTCAGGCATGGCTTCCCATCTCCACTGCATGTGGAAAGCATGCCAGTGGTTCTGGGGCATGCATTGAAGAGCTGGGTTTGCTCTTCAAGAAACTCATTGTTGCTTAATTGAAAAAGTAGCTCTCATCTAAATAACGTAGGCTGATAGAAGAGGTTGCATGGACCCTTTCACTGCAGTTTAAAACTGTCTCTCTTCAGTTTAGTCTCAGGCAAGTTTCAGTTTCAATCACCTTTAAGGCAAACAGGAGCAGCCCAACCGGGTGGTAACAAGAGAGTCCACACACAGTTTGCACAGCTTTAACTATGGAAGCAAAAGCGGGTAAATGCAGTCGATGCAGGTTTGTAGGTGCACAGTGTC